GGATAGAAGGCTGAGTCAACCTTGAGCTGGCTACCTGGGATTTGAACCCCAGGTTGTGAGCACAGTTTTGGCTGCAGTACAACGGTTTAACCACTGCGCCACGAGGCTCTTTAATTATGCAAAAAACAACTAGCAAAAAACAAATTAAGAAACAAATCACCAAATTAATTCAAAAACATCACAAATTCATTGATTCGTATTCATATGAATCAATGCCCTTGATGAATATGAATCATTTTTTTTGCAATTTTAGATTCATTTGGCTATAAAATGACCCCCACGGGGGGCATCTAGAGACACCAAAATTGCAGGGTGAAGATTATTACATATCTTTTTGGTGAAATTTGGTGAAGGCTAGTTTTCCCCAAGCCAGCAGCTAATCGGCACTTTCCAGGGGGACCCTCTTTGTGGGTGTATAACATGGATGTCTTTAACCCAATCTTCACTAAACTTAAGAGGATTGTAGAGGAGAGTCCGTAGGAGCTTCGCTGTGATTTTTGTCTCTCTAGGTGCCTGGGGGAGAAACTATCCTGGTGCACCCTCCTTGTGGGTGTATAACTCGGACGTCCAAAACTCAAACTTCGCCAGCATTGCAGGGCTTGTACAGAAAGGTCAGGGGAAGCTCCCCTGTGAATTTGGTGCCTCTAGATGCTGGGAGGGGGGGCATTTCATAGGGTTTTAAAATAAAAAAATGAATTGACAAATTGATTCGTCTATTTATCAGAAAAAACAACGACGTACCTTCCTAATTCGTGATATAGTGTCCTGGACAAATCACGAATCAAAACAAATCACAATTTTTCTGATTCATGCCCATCTGTGATGGCCAGTTAAGAAGTGTCATTCCATGAACTACTCAGGGTTATAATGGGTCTGAGTTGGGGTGGGTAATATGGGCCTTTCTAGATTTTGTTGGACTCCATTATCCTTTATCTATGGTGACTAAGCCTGGTGGGATTTGGGAGTTCCACTGCATCTTCACTCATCTAATTGTTCATTTGTTTATTTACCAGCATCATTGTAATCATATAGTCTTTTAATTATGTAAACTTCCTTGGATCCTTCTTAAGGAGAAAGGCAGCATAAAAATATTTAAAACAAACAAATATGCACTCTCTCTTTAAATGTGGCTGTGGAAGGGACCATAATATTGCATCATCATTTAGTTGTAAAACAAAATTTGCCGTATATTTCGCTCCATAAGACGCACCTTTCCATAAGACGCACCAATTTTGTAGGAGAAGAAAACAGGAAAATATAATCTGTTTTCTTCGCTCCATAAGAACGCACAGACTTTCCACCCCCTGTTTTGTGGGGAAAAAGTGCGTCTTATGGTGCAAAAAATACGGTAATTATCAGAAAGAGTGGTAGCTAAGAGAGAACATACACCTAGCAAAATTTAATCCTAGCATCCCCTTAGCCTTATGGGCAAGGGGAATTCGCCCCTTCATTAACTTCAGAGAGATGTTAATGAGGAATAAGCATATATGTGCCTTCCATGTTAACATTTTCCTTAAATCATTAAAATGTACAAAATTGGCATACTTGGTCAGCTTTCTTTTCTTGAGTCCATTTTTACTCCTGCAATGGAAACAGAATGCCTTAATTAGGTTCTCGCCACCTTCTTCGTGATTATTTAGCTTTAATTCCAGAAATATATTCCAGCCTGAATTGTAATGCACCCTTGGGTACATTCACGGCTTGTCAGTCTCTATAAGAATCTACAAAATTAATTTGTGCATTGGCAGATTTTAAAAGCATACTACAGTGGTACCTCAGCTTACGAATGCCTCAGTTAACGTAATTTTTGGATTACAAATGAAAATCCACTGAAAATAATGCCTCAGTTTATGATTTTTTTCCGCAATAAGAAGCAAGTTGGCATTGCGCCTGGGAGGTTTATAGCACCGCCCCCGTGCATTCATTCCTATGGAAAACTGCATTTCGCTTTGCGAACTTTTTGCATTGCAAAACGTCCTGGAGAACGCATTGAATTCGTAAAACAAGGTATGTCTGTACATATTCAGGAAAATCAGCAACATGCTTGTGGGAATCTTATAGAATAACCTGAGTTTGAAGAGGCCTATAAGGTCATCACGTCCAACCTCCTGTTCAGTGTTGGAATCCAAATCAAAACAAATCTGACAGATAGTTGTCCAATTTCCTCTTGAATCTGTTTTCCTGTAACTTGACCCCATTATCACGTCTCCTGCACTCTAGAATGACTGAGAACACATCCTGACCCTCCACTACATGACTATCTTTCAAGTATTTGAAAAGTGCTATTATATCTTCCCTTCAGTTTTCACTCAAGGCTAAACATGCCCTGCTCTTTCAGTCTTTCATCTGGGGCTGGGCGGAAGATATAATCTCATAAAATTCCAAAAAGAATTTCTGCCAAAGGAATACAGGATTGAGGTGAAGAAAATTCTATGTACGAGCTACAACAGTGCCCCGTGAAAGGCTATCCTTGTTAAATGTACAGTTTTCAGAGTTTTAAACTCTTTTTAAAATATTGGGGATCCCTTTGTAATTTTTAATAGTAGCAATGAGTGAAAGAAGAAGAGATGAAAAAGCTGAGGGAGGCCAGGAGATAAAACTTTCCTCTCTATATTATACCCTAATGCAAAGGTTCCCAACCTTGGGTAACCCAGATGTTCTTCGACTGCAACTCCCAAAAATCCTGGCCAGCATAGCTAGGGGTGAAAGCATCTGGGGAGTTTTAGTCCAAGAACATCTAGGGGACAAGGATGGGAATCATTGCTCTAAGAGATGAACTCACTAACTTTGACAATTGCAAATGGACTGAGTAAACATCACAACAACAGAAGAACTATTTTCTGCTAAGAAAGAATGAATAAAGCCACTTACCAGGGGTTAATATAAAATGCCAAGAGATAATCAGTCCAAAGGCAGGAGGGTAACAGGGTTAGGAAAGCAAATACACTCCTACGCCTGTGAGTATTAATAGATAACATACACACAAATTACAAAAAATAGCAAGGAGGATTAGTGTAGCGAATAGAAGACAAAAGATCAACGTGTAACACATTAGATATAAGCAGGCAGAGACCGTAGAAGAGGGCAGCAAAAGGATTAGAGCTCCAAACTACCTTCTCCCGTTGAGACTACCTGGGGCCTGTGTCTCTCCAGGGCCATAACAAGGGTGGGGGAAGGTTACTGTTGTATTTAGTAGCTAAAATTCTGTGCCTTAGAACAGCCATTCTCAACCTTGTGTTGGCCACAGCCATAAACACAGTATGAAAGAAATACAGGCTGAACCAGGATTATATAACTTGCATAATTAACCTTATGAGGTGGTGTGAAGAAATGATTCCAGTCTGTGGCTTCCTTCAAATGTGTCGGGGGCCATGTGGTCCCCCCCATTGAGAATGGCAGTCTTAGAGCAGTAAGTCACACTAGAAGAGGCCTACTGGATTAACGGGGATTTGGTGACACCTCTATACATTTCACTGAATCCAATAGGCCTAACTCTAGTTGTAAGCAAATTGGAAGAGTACACATTGGAAGAGTAAATTGCACCCCGAGTAGGCACATTTGAATATAACTGAACTCACTGAGGAGTTGACTCACCAAGTTCCCATTGATTCAATGGGCCCAGTTCTGTGTGACTTATTACATTACGCAACAGGATTTCAGCCAGTGAAATTAATTGATCAAGAAGAGGAAGAAATGCAGCACGTTTTCTAATCGACAGCAAGAAATTGTAATACCTTGTGACGTCTTCCAAGCAAGACCCTTTCCTGTAGGAGGAGGAGCCAAGCTGAGTTTAGCTACTAATCTAAATCCACTTGCTATTCCCAACTAGACTAAACCTCCTGAATCAATAGGAGTTTAGTAAGCCGATACTTAAATCTAATTCATGGGTTTCCTCGAGCTGGTAATTCACAGTTCAATTCAAAGGGTGGGGAGAAGGAGAGGGAGGCACAACTCTGCTTGACGGTGAAGGGGTCAAACCCTGAACAAGGACCTTCCATTTCTCCTGCCTTCCTATAATATTCATTGACTTTCCCCCCACTACATGGGGAGATCTCATCTGAATTTAATTTTGGATGAAATATTGGTCAGTATCCATTGTGCAGCTTCAACCTGTGTGATGGGAATGACCTAAACATCAGTGACAGATTACAAGCTAATTAAAGAGTTCCTTTTACGATTTGTGCATGAGTGTCATGTAATGAGATGAAATCCACGCCTTGATATCAGGCAAGAAGTATTGAATTACTGGTACTCTGCTGCTGCTGACTTTACTCCTGTTGTACAGGCATCTGTGCAACAGGATGCCAGCCATAGGACTGTCTTGAGTTGTCCCTCTACATCACTAAAAACACGCCTGGAATACCTATAGGCAGAGGTACCTGCAAATGCTCCAAATTATGGAACAGGTAGAAAATACAGTTTTTAAAGAATATGAATGATCTTTAGCAAACAAACCAAAGGAAATGGAAGGAAAATGTAATCCTACCATGATTTTGTTTTTTTTAAATCCTGTTTGTTTCCAGGCCATTCCAAGTGTTCTGAGTCTTCATTAATTTTTGATGATTTTTTTATTTTCCCCATTTAAATCAATTGAATGGACAGTTCAATTCATTTAAATAGGGAAAACAAAAAATCACCAAAAATTAAGGACGACTCAGAACAACACCAAATTAAGTTTGCATAGGGTTCAGGAGGTGGGCTAACAATTGCAAGCATTTAAAACCTGTTCCAAACATTGTAAGACACTTAAAAATGAGCGAAAAGGGACATCGGAAAAGACTTCAAAAGCACTGAAGCAGGCTTCAGTGCTTTTGAAGCTCTTCCGTTTTCGCTCATTTTTAAGGGTCTTACAATGTTTGGAACAGGTTTTAAATGCTTGCAATTGTTAGCCCACCTCCTGAACCCTATGCAAACTTAATTTGGTGTTGTTCTGAGTCGTCCTTAATTTTTGGTGATTTTTTGTTTTCCCTATTTAAATGAATTGAACTGTCCATTCAATTGATTTAAATGGGGAAAATAAAAAAATCATCAAAAATTAATGAAGACTCAGAACAAAACCAAATTAAGTTTGCACATGTTTCACAAGGTGCACTATGGAATCCAAGCATTTAAAACAGGTTTCAAACATTTTAAGACACTTTTAAATGAGCAAAAAGGGACATCGTTAAGTGAAATTCCCCCATAGAGAACATCGTTAAACAATGGGGAAAATTCCTCAAAAAAACCCATCGCTGTGTGAATTCATCATTGTATGAAGCAATCGTTGTGCGAGGCACCACTGTA